TCAACATACCATTCCTTGACATGTCTGCCATGTTAACAGTATTTACTACCTGGACAGCAATCTTATTTTGTTCTTTAAAATCTGGCGTTTAATTTCCAGCATTCTATACATGATTTCTGCCTTACTATTGTAAAATCTTACATTCACTCATGTATCTGTCATGATGTAACACATGCTCCACCAAACCCCTACACCTGCTTTGAGCAGGAAGGTTAGTTATGTTTGTGTGTTATGAGTGTGTTCTTTCCTTCTGCAATTTGTATGGATGTAACTGCCCCCACATGAACAGAATACTCATAGAAGGATAAAGCGTTTGTGTGTGCAGTCTGCAGCCAGCTATCATAGATGACAAGTGTCAGGATGGATATCAGTAATCTGGAGCCCATGGTAAGTCTGTCATTATGGTGGTAACAGCCTCGTTTTCTCATTCTTCTTTTGTCTCTGCTTTCCTTCCTTCTGCTTAGACATTTTATTCCCTTATTTCATTTCCTCAAAGTTTAGAGGCTTTAGCGGAGAGCAGAATGTTGATTTACAGCCTAATATAACATTGAAAGTTTTTTCTATCTCTAACAGTCACAGATAATAAAAATGGCCATAGTAACCGAGCAAATGTTTTACAATATTGCCATATTTTAGTCTGTTTTCTATATTGCATACCGGTTTTGATGTAAGTAAATGCATTCCGACCATATTTGGTTTTATGTTGTTATCAAAAATCCACTAACAGGGAAAACTGCTTGATGTAATTAATTCATCGCAGTGAACTGTAGAGTTGTTAGTTATTTTTTTATGATTAAACATTGCCATCATCGCATACTAGCTCTGGAACATAATTTTGTAAAAAACTAAACAAAAGATAAGGCCAAGTCAAATAAAATGTTCAGTCATTATGCAATCAGGATGGAAAGATAATGCCTTATTTATTTTAATTCCTTCACATTCAGATAATGTTGAATGCGCAGATACTGATTATATTAGTATTTTCAGATATTTGGTGAGCTTAAAATGGGACATCTTACTCTGATTAAAACTTACTGTCAGTCTAACTTTTTGACAGCAGTATTTCATCGTCTCATTGATGCACATGGACACAAATAACACAGACACATTGAGCTGTGGTGAAAAACAAGCACAAAGGCTGATTTTGTTTGAAGAAAACATTGCAACACCTTCTGTAAAAATGTTGGGATTTTCTTTGGGACTGAAATTGCAAGAGAACTAAGAAGGTCACACTGATCAAAGTGGTAGATTTAGTGATATCATGCAATCTGACAGCATCATATCCATGCACTCATAGACATAGCATCTGTTGGGTTGTGTTCAAAATAAAAGTTCTACACACTCACGCACACACAATTAATTTAAAAAATCATTTTGATTCCCATCTCTTCAAAATACTGTATATTTGACTTTTAATAATATCTGCTGGGTCTTTTCAGATGTTTTTTAATGAATTGAACCAAACTGTTAAGAAAAAATAGGCCTTGCTATTAACCCTTTATTAAGCTGTAGTAACCTAAATTTTTGATTTTTCAGATCAGAGTTATACATTCGCATACTCAAGCTACTGCTCCCTGTTAGGTTAACTGTTATTCCCTTGAACCACTCTGATTTTGTTATATCCCTTCAGTCCCTTAAATACTATCTATTTCTTTACGTTTCTTTTCTCATTTTGACACTCTGTCCCTTCCTGTTTGGTTGTCCTTAGACCGCCACTATAGTCGCCAGATTAACCGTCTCCCTCCCTTTCCTCCTCTCTCTACCTATTTCACACTTGCTCAAATTAATTCAGTTCAGTTTAATTTAGTTCAGTTTGATTTAAAGGGCTGCGATGATGATGACATGATAAGTTGATCCCGGTGAGTTGTTATGAATAATATAGATTTAGGGGACACATTCATCACTGACCGATCATAATTCATAATGCCATACTATTTGTACCGGTTTTAGCAAAACAGGAAAATTAAAACCTCCCATTGATCAAATGTTTCACACATACAGCAATGCTGTAAAAACTTGCTAATTCTGTCTCATTATTGTCTCATGTTTAGGCATATGGGCTATATGACCAAATCTTTTCAAGTACAATAATGCTACGTGTGTGGCAAAAGTATGTCAACCTCAAGAATTAACAGTAATATGAAAGGTGAAACAATAGTCATAGATCGTTAATTAGCAGAATGGTCATCACAGAGCTGTTCAACATGTCTGGGGAAGTGCATCTTATAAATGTCAAGAATTTAAAAAACGGTTGTTGATTCTCACTGTAAAAAAATAAAGAAAAACATTTCACAAGATTGTATCCTAAAAGTTTCAAATGCTCCAGTTTACTGATTTTGTGCCTGTAGAAAGAAAGTAAGATTGATGTCATGCTCTCCCGGACTGACTGTCCAGTCAGTGCTCCGAGAGCAATATGTGACAAAGTCTGCAAGGTGACAAAAGAACCTGAAATAGGTTGAGAGTGATACTGAACAGCAATGAATGGTGAGTGGTGTGAAAAAGCACTTCTGCTATTTCTGGGACACAAAAAGAAAAACTCATTGATTGAAATTTAAACATGAAAATAAGAAAGAAACAAGGAAAAGGATACATTGCATGAACATCCCTGAAACGTGCTGGTTATCCTAATTTTTTTTTCTACCTGTTTGCTGCATGGCAGCCAAAATGGCTTGCCATGATGGAGAGAATGACTAACTGAATCATACCTGTGGATTTCTGGGGGAAAATGTCGAGACATCAATCTTTGACTCAACTGAAAGTGGGTCATACAGCAAGACAACCTCTCCAGCACAGAAGTCATGGTAAGAAAATGCTGAAATAGGGATGAAGTTGATATTCTGAAATGGCCAAGTCAAAGTCTTGACCTTAATCCAATAGAACTGTTCCAAAAGGTGAAGCAAACAGTTTGTGTCAGGTAACCGTCAATATGCTGGAGCTGCGGCTGCGCTGCACAGAGGAATGTGGTAAAAGTTCCTCTAAGCCGGTGTGAAAAACCAACCAACGGTAAGCGTGTTACTGCAAAGGAGGTCCACATGTAACATGAGGTCCTGAAAGTTAAGGATAATTTTCGCTCACCACTCTGTGTGCTCTTATACATTTTGCTTTGGAGTGCTAAATCCTGCTTTTCACTATTATCATTGAAATTTTTGGTTTGTTTTTCTTCCTTTTTGTTTTTTGCGAGAAAGGTGAACATTTGTGCATTGCAAAAATCTAGGTAATACAGAACAGATAATTCAGTGAAATCAGGAAAAAATTACAATTTTAAACAATCAAACATTGCTTGTATATTTAACTCTCATAAAATGAGGCCGAACCTTCATATATAGCCTTGAATCCCGCAGAGCCGATTGTGTCATCTGACTGCAAGTGTAGCCACATCTGATTGGACAAACTCACGATAAGGTCGGGAACACTGGTACCAGTAAGCCTAGGCGAAACAATGAGAAAAAAGTCATTATTAACTATATTATGTATTAGCATTTCTAATGCAACATAGGTGGAATGTGTATCACTTTTTTTTAAAATCAAAATGACAACATGATCACCAAGTTTTGTGAAAATACTGTGGGGATTGGATTCAGTCCAAAATATGTATCTGCATGGTAATGCCACTGTTTTCTAGCTTTCCCTTTGACTTTAACAGTTAGTTATTCTGTACTGTTGCATGTCGTTGACATGTAAAAAAATGAACTGATGCTTACACATAAAGTACTCTCCGGGTGTCACCAATCTTCCCTCCATCTCCCACCGTCAATGTGTCGTATCCTCGCTCCATATCAAACTCTTCAAATGACAGTTTTATAACCTAGAAAAACAAAAAAATTGAAAGAGATAGAGAATCGGTTATCAGTACCATAGCATATGGAAAAGCAAGAAAGCAA